GGACAGGTGCAAGGCCTTCAACACCCGCCGGGTCGACCCCGGCTTCATTTACAACAACAACAACAACTTGCCGCTCCGGGCGAGCCGCTCCCGCCTGGACCGCTGGGAGGGCAAACTCCTCCGGGCCCGGAATCGCCGGCAGCTCTTCGCCATGAGCCCGGTTGACGAGTGCAGCCGGCAGTACAACTCCACCAACATGGGCCTCTGGAGGAAATGCCACCGGCAGGGCTTCGACCCCGAGATCGCAGCCCTCATTCGGAAAGGTAAGCGCGAGGCGCGAGGCGTGGCGCTGCGGAGAGCCCGGCGCCTCTAGGCCCGGCAGCCCTCTCCTCCCTTCGCCGGGCAGCCCTCTGCTCCCTTCGCCTGGCCACGGTCTCTCCGGCCTCCTGCGAACGGGAGGTCAGGTTGTCCAGGCCCTGCTGAGCCTTGGAGCGGCCAGAACTTGCCTCCCGATAGCCGGTAATGGAGGCTTACCTCTCTCTGCCCGGCCTCTTGTCTTGCGTTTGTGTGATGGGATTCCCGTGGAATATCGTGGTCCAGGATTTTTATCCAGGATAATGCTTCATCAGTCTCTGAAAAGGGAGGGAATCCGTCGCGTTGTGTTCTTTGCAGAGGAAGCCCCTTTGAGAATGATGTGTCCGGCAGACAGCCTCCTAGTTTTAATCTTTGTTTTAGATGTTGAACCGATTCAGGAGAAACATCTCACTGAGAAGGCCATATTCACGCCACAAACGTTTGCTAAGTGCTAGTCTATACCCGGCGTGGTGCAGGCATTGGTCATATAAACATGGATAAATCACAGCCCCTGCCCCATTGTAGCTCCAGGCCTGTTGACCAGATTCTTGGTTTCTCCTTTTGGGGAAAAGGTTGACAAAAGTGACTTGTGTGCTTTGAATTTTAACAGGGCCTAATAAACACATAAAAAGTAGTTCCTCACTTTAGAGAAAAAAAATTACCATTTTCAGAAGATTTATATCAAAAATACCTAAAGTACTCCAAAACATAAAACAGACCATATTTACTAATGATAAAAATTTCTTTCATACTTTCTTTCGTATGATCACATACATTTTTAAAAGTCTGTTCATCTCATGCCATTTGTAAATCTTGTGTGATTTATACTTTGGGGACCACCCTGTTCTATTAGTCCACTGAACTGTTGTTTGGATGTATTATTAATATTGCTCTGAAGAAGAGAATACATTCTCTCCTATGGTAGTTGCATTCTGGAAGATGTGGTGCGATTTTATGAGTGTTGTTCTTTTTTTTCCCCCTTGCTGTGTTTCATTCTCTTCAACTATTAAATGCTGATGCCAAGGTGAAAATGATGTTGTTACCTGCAAAGTCTTTGAGTCAAAGATAGAAAACAGTTCTTTGTGTCTCTTAATATTATAACACAGGTTTGCTTCTGTTTTAAAATATTATTTGTGAGAGCTGATGTTCTTTGATTTATAAAAATATTGAAATTGGTCAGAAAAAAGTGGTAATTTGAAAAAAGCCAATTGTTGAAGAATGACAAGCAGTGGGTATGATCTAGGTGGCAAGTCAGATTTAGAAAAGTCCAGAAAGAGAATCCACCTGAATGTTTATTTTGTAGTTTCTGTAGAATAACTAGGGATTTTAGCCGATCCAGTTATTAGTGCCTTAATATTACAAACATCACAACTGCTTCGTGGTTAGTCTCCTATATGAAGCAGGAGGACCCATTCGGAGCTCTACAACTTTGTAAAGATGTACAGAATATTAGAGAATTCCAGAAGAGAGTAACTTGGCTTGGATTTAAAAGTAGGAAAACAAGAGAAACCAGACTCGTTTTTGACAATGGGTGACTTCGTAACAGTTTGCAGGTTCTCAGATTCGTGAAGTGTTACTTCGTTCGTTGTTTTCCACTTTCATCAAAATTGAGACGGTGGGAAGTTGGCTGAAACGGGAGGGAGAATTCATGTTAATAATAATGCCTGATAAGCAGTAGTAGGGCTTGCTGAAGGACATTCTTGAATTTCCTTTCTTAAATGTCTCTTGCAACAAGATGGGTATCTTTCTGTCTGGTATTGGTTAACGCCACTTAGAAAAAGGGGGATGGAGTCCGTATCTTCTGGTGGTTCTATAGAGGGCTTTGATTCCATGTTGCTTTGCCTGGCAATCCGGCTAGAAAGGTTAACTTGGTCTGTGCACCAGAGAGATTGGTTACCATAGTGACATGTTCTTCCGGTGAAGCTGGCAACACAGTGACAGGGAAAGGGATAGGGGAAGAGTGTACAACATTTTGACTTTGTATCGACTGATTTTTAATTGCAGCAACAGAAAATGGACACGGCACAGCAGGGGGATTGAATACACTGATACCTAGAGTTGGCAGGCATTGTATTTCACTTGGACTAATGGAGATGCTGTTCCCCATCACCCAAAATACAGCAATCACTGTCAGCTGCAAGCACCCGCTTACCATGGCCGTTTCTGTCCATTTGACATTCTTGTTAGGTATTATTGAGATAGATGGCATGCCAGCCTTACAAATCTTGAGAGACTTAAGGTCACTATCTTCATTTTTAACCTCGAAGCATAATATTTGAGAGCTAGATCTTCCTTTTCTAAGCAACAATAGACACATTTTGGAAATAAGGGTATCTTATATTAGTAGAATTCACAAGCAACTCCAATAACACAGAACATAATTTCTAGACTTAATCCGTGTTCTTTCTAGATCGGCAGATTTTAGAAGGAAGTAAAAAAAAAAAGCACCCAGAAATTGATATTCCTCTATTTAAATTTAGGGCAGGCATCTTAGGGAAAGATATTTATCTCACAGTATTCATTAGCAGCCTCAAAAGATATGGTAGGCCTTTGTCTTTTGGGGGAACATCTCAGATTAAAATGCTGGGAGATATGTGTTGGGCAAGGGGAAAGGGACACCAGAGAAAAAGACTGTGTAAAATCTGTCAATATTAGGGGAAAATTAGAGATTTATCTAAATGATCATACAGCTCCACGTAACTCAATCATTTGTTAAATCAATGTTCATTACATTAGAAAGTTGCCGTCTGTGCATTTTAAAACACAACCAAACCACATAATTAATAAGAAAACAAAAGTCAAATCTATATCTGATTCGAAGATAAAGTCCTTTAGATTCATGTTCTTTCTGAAATCCATTTCTTCGATGCCCTGTTGCCATGTGTGTACCAATAACAAATATGCATTTTTGGTCACGGTATATTTATTCGTTTGTCTTATTGAACTGTTAAGTTCCTGAAGGGCAGGAAAGATATAATTTGTAAAATACATTCACCAGATGCTTGGTACTTGGGAAATATCTCATACAAATTAGGTTCACAGAAACGTATCCATCAAGAGCTTATTCTAATTGTAGGAACACTTGTGTGGGAATCCAAATAAAGGATTAGTCAGAAAATTGTGATGAAAAAAAAATGAGCCAGCACGGCTCTCAGGGTAGGTTAATATTGCAACAGATGCTGAATAATTTAACAGGGAAGGTTTTTTTGAGCAAAAAAGTTTTGCTACGGAATAAGGGGAACAGTACTTTTTTGGATAGCCGATGTCACTGAACAGACATTTATCACCCACAATCATTATTTTTCACATTAGATGAGATTTTAATGATTTCCTTCTTGGAGGTGGGATTGGGTAGAGGGTGCAGCAAGGATAGATCACCCTTGAATCCCCATACGACTGTGACCATAATCAAGTCCTCTTGTCTTGCTTTTCAACCATGTCAACGTCTCCCTAGTAAGTCACTGCAAGCACGGGGGACAGATCAATGACAGGATCAGTTTCTGAAATCCAAGAGACTTCCAGACCCTTAGGAGGAATAGCTACAGGTAGGATTTTGTTCCAGGGAACATTTACATTCTTTGATTTCTACTGGCGTGTTATATTGATATGGCTTAAAATGAGTAGACCTTCACCTGAGACTCTGAGAACTTTTTTTATTATTTGAAAATAAGCCTTCTAGTAGAATTTGATCTATATAATCATAGACTGGTTGTCTCTGTATTGAGGCTTATTTGAACAAAACACTGCACATATTCACAAATTAATAATGTGCTCAGCAAATATTTACTGCACATGTATTGTGTGATGGACACACATCCCTGGAATGAAGTGATGGATAATACCTGGGCCTCAAAATTCCCATAGTCTGTTAGCGTCACAGGGGATAAATGACAACGACACAGCAGCAGCTACAGATGCGGAGAAGCACCGAGCAGACAGTGATGGATGGTGTTGGCAGTGGGGCAGGGGGATGGGGGTAAGCCGGGAGGGGTGGGGTGGGGAAAGTTGCCTGGAGGAAATGAAATCGAGCACAATTTTCATGAACTTGGAGGTGGATGGTGAGGAAGGGCATGTCAGGCCAAGAGAGCCATCTGCACAGCCACGGAGCTGTGAAACAGCAGCTTGGCCTCGTGAGTGGTGATTGCTGGAGTGAGTGAGAGGGGTAGGGAGTGGAGCTGGAGAGCCGGGAAGAGGCAAGTCAAGGAGCTCGTATACTCACGTCCCTGGTAGCTGTAACGCCCAGTAGGGTAGCTGCTAACCACGAGTGGCTCCTTAAATTTAAAATAACCAATATAAAATGAAATTAAAAATTCATTTCCTTAGTCACGTTGGCCACATTCAAGTGCTCAAGAGCCGTGTGTGGCTCGTGGCTGTCATATTGGACAGTGCAGGTTAGAGAACATTCCTGTCATCCCAGAAGGCTCCATTGGACAGAGCTGCATGGAACCCAGAGCCTCAAAAGAGCAAGCACGTACTTGGTTTCAGATGAGGAATTAAATTAATTAAACATGATAACTTGACCTCAAATTTAAGTATATTATTCTACACTTGAAGAAACTTTGCTACTTGAATGTTTTGGGCAGAAGGTTTGAGTTCATGGTCAATTATACCAAGTCTATATTTTATTAACTTCCCATCTTTAAGATTCCATTAAAATTCCATCAGAATTCTCACATGCTTCTCTATTCCCTCCCTGCCCTCTCTCCACTCCATTCAGAGAAACTTGCCTTGGTGTCTGGATGGAAAGGGTTAATAATAATAATTGTCAAACATGATGCCAGGTACTCCTCTAAGAGTTTTCCATATATTCGCTAATTTATTCTTCACAATAACGCTCGAGGTGGGCATTATTATTTTTTTCATCCCTGCGCTACAGTTGAGGAAACTGAGGCATATAAATGTCCATTAACTTGCCAAGTCTCACGATAAGGAGGCGAAGGTGCCAAGATTCGAATTCTGGCTCCAGGTT